AGGAGGGAGGAGGAGGGAGGAGGAGGGAGGAGGAGGGAGGGGGAGGGAGGAGGAGGGAGGAGGAGGGAGGATGATGGAGGAGGAAGGAGGAGGAGGGAGGAGGAGGGAGGAGGAGGGAGGAGGAGGCAGGAGGAGGGAGGAGGAGGCAGGAGGGAGGAGGAGGAGGAGGAGGAGGAGGAGGAGGAGGAGGAGGAGGAGGAGGAAGAGGAGGAGGAGGAGGAGGAGGAGGAGGAGGAGGAGGAGGATGAGGCACATGAATCGCCACGTGCGGGGACACATCCCCGCGCTCGGGGAGCGGGCCCGCCGGGCCAGTGCTGCGGGGGCGACGAGCGCGGCGGCGGCGCCGCGCGACGGCGGCAGCGGCGTCCGCGAAGCACACGCACGCCACCGCACCGCCAACAGCAACGAGCTTAGCTGCCCCGATACGCAACACGCAACACGTTTCGTATTGATACGGAGCTCAACACGTAGGCTGAAAACGCAAGTCCGACGCGATACACTCGCCAAAACGTGGTCCAATACGTGGGGCCAGCACGCAACGTATTGACACGGAAGTCTTCAACACGGGACGTATTGCGTTTCAAAGCGGGCGTATCGAGGCAACTAAAACACGCACGCTACCGCACCGCCAACAGCAACGAGAACTACCGCTTCAAGCGGGACCAGACCCGCGGTCGACATCGTCAACCTGGAGATCGTGGTGGTCTGAGGCTGGCGGCCAGAAGCCGCATAGCCTGCTCAGGCAGGAGAGGCCTGCCCGTAGCATCCAGAGACCTCGCTCTTGCACTGTTGAGCCAGACCGCGCCAAACCAAGACGGCGCCGAGGTGGGGCCCTACGCTCAGGCAGCCAGCGACTATCATAATGACTGGCATCAGAATAACTGGCATCAGCAGTGCGAGGACCAGCAGCGAAGACTAGCGGCGCTCCTGCGAGGACCAGCAGCGCCACAACCGCAACTAGATGCGCTCCTACGAGGACCAGCGGCGCTCATATGAGGACCAGCAGCGCCCCTACGAGGACCAGCGGCGCTCATACGAGGACCAGCAGCGCCCCTACGGGGACCAGCAGCGCCCCTACGAGGACCAGCAGCGCCCCTACGGGGACCAGCAGCGCCCCTACGAGGACCAGCAGCGCCCCTACGGGGACCAGCAGCGCTACAACGGCGACCAGCAGCGCTACAACGGCGCGACCAGCAGCGCTAAAACGAGAACCGGCAGCGCCACGATGGGAACCAGACGCGCTCCTAGGAGGACCAGCGGCGCTCCTACGACGCCCAGCAGCGCTCCTACGATGACCAGCAGCGCTACAACGGGGACCAGACGCTCTCTTGCGAGGACCAGCAGCCCGCTTACGAGGACGAGAAGTCCTCAAAAGAAGTACGCCTACGGGGACCAGAAGCGCTCCTACGGGCACCAGCAGAGCTACAACGACGAGGAGGGCGACTACGGGAACCAGAAACACACCAACGAGAACCATACCGCCCCCTCGTCGCCTCGGATGGACCCAGCTCGAACCAACTCTGGCCTGCGGTGGGAAGCACAAGTCTTCGTCCCGACCTACGTTGACGCCGAGGACGGCGCCGAGGGCTACGCCGCCCCGTGCGCAACACATAAAATCATCACCATCGTCCGCGCCGAGATTCAGCATTACCTCATTGCGCTCACGGCAGACACGGCATGCCACTGCATGAGGGGCAACGGTAGGGGGGGACTGGCACAGGGGGGGAAACATCGACCTGGAATCGGCGATACATCGCCGATAGGTCGGCGATGAGCCCCCGATCGTGAATCCGCACGTGCCCAGGCAGGTTGGAGCCACCAGACCCCTGCTCGCGAGCCGTGGGCGATGGTGGGTCGCTGCGTCCCCCCCGTGTGCCTTTTCCCCCCCGCTCTCGTTACCCTCCGCCTGTAGCGCTCCAGCAGGCCCCCAGCAGCGGCGAGGCCGCCGAAGGCGCTTCCTCGCCCGGGCGGCCCTCCGCGCCGGCCGCCCCGATGCCCCCCGCCAAGGGACCGCCCCGAGGAGGCCGCGAGGACCGCCGCCGCCGAGGGCGCCTCCTCGCCGGGGCAGCCCTCCGCGCCGGCCGCCCCGATGCGCCCCGCCTCAGGACCGCCCCGAGGAAGGCGCGGCGGAGGCCGCGAGGGCCGCCGCCGCCCGGGGGCCCCCCTTGCGAGCGGGCGCGCGGAGGCGCGGCGGGGCGGGCCGCCGCGGGCACGGGGCAGGCGCGCGTGAACAGCCGCAGGGGGGAGGGAGGAGGGAGGCGGAGGAGGGAGGAGGAGGAGGAGGAGGGGAGGAGGAGGAGGAGGGAGGAGGGAGGAGGGAGGAGGAGGAGGGAGGAGGAGGAGGAGGAGGGAGGATTTTTGGATTGCAAGCGCGATGAACCTGTGACGGCTGTCGCGAGAGAGTGGCGCTGCAGCTAGCAGAAGCTTTAAAGATCAGTCAGGCAGGCCGGCTGAACTAAAAGACATAAATCTGCGAGGAGGGAGGAGGGAGGGAGGAGGAAGAAAGGAGGGAGGGGGGGAGGGAGGGAGGGAGGGAGGGGGAGGGAGGGAGGGAGGGAGGGAGGGAGGGAGGGAGGGAGGAGGAGGAGGAGGAGGAGGAGGAGGGAGGAGGGGGAGCAGGAGGGACAAGGAGGACGAGGAAGAGCAAGAGCAGAGCAGGAGGATGACGAAGATGGGGAGGATGCGTGAGGAGGATGCAAGAAGAGAGTGCGGCAGGGGGGCTCCTGCGAGGCCATCGAATA